CCTGGGTGGCTCAGTTGGTTAAGCGACTGCCTTAGGCTCAAGTCATGATCCTGGAGTCCCGGGATAGAGTCCCACATCGGGCTCTCTGCTTGGCAGGGAGTCTGCTTCTCCCTCTGACCTTCCCCCCCCTCATGCTCTCTCTCTCTCATTCTCTCTCTCAAATAAATAAATAAAATCTTAAAAAAAAAACAGTAATAGAAACAGGACAATTGGGAAGGAAAGGCAAGACAAAATTTGGAAGCAAACAATGCCACCAGGCTCAGGCTGACTTCTTTTTTTTTTAAATTTTTTATTTTCATAGCTTTATTAACTGATGTGATTTTTTTTAAATTTCTCCTCTAATTTTTTAATTTTATTATGTTATGTTCATCACCATACATTACATCATTAGGTTTTGATGTAGTGTTCCATGGTTCATTGTTTGCATATAACACCATTTTTTTTTTAAGATTTTATTTTTTAAGTTATCTCTACACCACCTGAGGTCAAGAGCCCCGCGCTGCACAACTGAGCCAGCCAGGTGCCCCGTGTCTCTGTTTTCTATTATGTTCTCTCCTTCACTAGCCTTCTTCTCCCTCATCACCTTGTCTTTTATTTCAGTGTTTTAGGTATATAAAGCCTTAAGCTTTTTGTTTGTTTGTTTTACATAGAAATATAATTAAACTGAAGGCCAGGGAATCTCACTATACATGCTGCTAATAACTACGGGAAACATTTCATATACCTTACAACTCTCAAATTAATTACTTGGGTATTGCAGTTCGTGTAAAAATGAAGGTCCACTTTGAATTCTCCAGGTTTGGAATAGGCCTCCATTGACACAGTCATCCTGGAGTGTGCATTAAAGATCACCGGGATACTCAAGTACTAACATCAATTTCATTATCCTTCACTGGCATTCATTAAGAACCCCCAGGGAGGAGAAAACCACTCTTTGAAAAGAAGTATGCTCTTTTTTCCTCATTAAGTTTATGTTCTAAAAGTGAGGCTAAGAAGATATAGAACCACAAAAATACTGAGACAAGTCTGATTCTGGTTACTAAAATCTGAAACCAAAAAACATACAACAATTACATTTTTATAAGGAACTTTCCAACATAAAGTAAATATGCTGCATAATGTCCACTGGGAAAAGCTACTGGTGATTCATTTGTTGTGATACCTGTGAAGAATAATCACCTCTGTCAGCTTATATAATAATTTATTAAATGAGTGGAAATAATTATGTTTGAATATACAGTCCAAGTCTTGGAGAAAATACTAATTATCAAAGCAAGTATTTATTATTGTGTTTTTCAAGTAAGATATTGTCTCCAACTATGTAATTATAACTGAAGTAAACAAAAATAATGGGTTGACATCAAATTTTATATATATATGTTACTTTAATTGTCTAATTATCATTTTCTTATTATACTTATTAGCTAAAGTTCATGTGACAAATGGTATTACTGTTTCTGAACAGTTAACCAAATGGTCTATACAAGTGATCCTTAAGGCATTATGATCAGTTGATGGTGCAATTCCCTGTTATCCCAGTGGGTAGTATGGTGGCTCAGTGAGTCTCTGATTGCTATGTATCTGGTTTTCAGGGCACATTTACATGCTCTCACAAAAGGAGTATTACTCAAACTTGTCTTGCATTTCAGAGAAGATATTTATAAACCATTATTAATGTCAATGAGAAAACTATTCCTAATTTAAACTTTATAAGGTTGTACCTTAATACTAAAGAAATACACACACACACACACACAATTTCCTTATTGGTTGTTAACTTTGGATGTCTAGTTTGGAATAAGATGAGAATGTAAGGTCTTTTAAGAATTATATTTATTTACTGAAATTGCTATATCTAATATATTCTATTTTTATATTGAGAAAGAATATAGGTTTTGGCCATACTGTAGCTGCTTTTAAAAAAGATTTTCTTGTTGTTGTTTTTACTAAAGTATAACTTACATACGATGAAGTGCACATATTTTAAATATGCCAGTCAATAAGTCTGTATATATGTATAATCTCATGAAACTACTAACCAAATCCAGAAGGCTCCCTTGTGCCGCCTCCCAATCAATATCCTTTTGGAAATGTAACCACGATTCTGAACTCTTCAGATTAGCTCTGTCTGTAAGAATCTTAAGCAAAGCTATTATCTCTCCAACTAAAATCTAAAACGCAAATTTCTAACCCCAGTTAAATGCTAGAGGAGTCACTTTTTAGGACCCATATTTTCTCTCTTGCCGGCTGTTAAAGATCCTGTTTCGACATTAGCACATGGCTCTACTGCCTTTAGTTTTAATTTCTGTAGCTTTTTCATAACTGAAACCTCACAGAGTGATACAGAAATATTTTATGATATGTTTTTCATACTTATTTACCTTTTCAATGATTCAATGCACATTTAATATCCTTGTTATTTAACGGATGTAAGGAGCCTAGTATATGGTGGGAGTTTAAGAAATATTAGCTCCTTTTCCTATAAATGAGAAGGAAGACAGGAACACCGAAGGGCGGGAAGGAGGGAGGGAAAGAAAGAAAAGAAAAAAGAAAAGAGAAGGAGAAGGAAAAAGAAAGGGAGAAAGAAAACATAACTCAATTTCCAAATTCTTGGCTCAGCACACCCTCAAAATAAGAGTCCTGTTTTCACATTTTATTTCCTTCTCCCCCGTGGCAAGAATAAAATATCTTCCCAAACGCGGAATAAAACCACAAACGCAGGCGGTATGGAAGAAGTGGCATGGTAAATGAACGGGCAAGAGAGGACTGGAGAGTGGAGCCCTGCCAGACTTCACCCTCAACATCTGGTGGGCGAGGGCTGCCAAGGACAACACTGTCTTGCTGGCAACTGTTCTGCCATCTAAAGTTCTAACATTCTGGAGACCTGTCTGTCTGAAACGAAATCATAACCTGACATTATTTTTTAAAAAGGAGAGTCTCATAAAAAAAAAAAAAATTACCCCCATAAGCCATGAAACGCAAATTAGTTAAATAATTGGTTCTTTTCATCTACGTGGTAGGAGATGGCTAATTTGCACAACATGCTCACTAAATTAATTGGTTAAGGTGGAAACAGAGAGGCAAGTTACACTGGCCTTTTTGTGGGGCTAGATGTAAATTCCTTGCACTAATGACTTTCAACTGGACCTTCACGGTCTTTCCAGTGTTACTCGAAATAATTAGTTACAACTTAAAATTAGTTTTAAAATATGAACAACTGAGCACCCTCTAGATTTTTATTAATTTCTTTCATAGACATGGTTTTCTTCTATTTAGTTTATCAGTCTTCTCCAGTGAAGCAGCACTAAGGATATCATTTTGCCAAGGATATCGTTTTCTTCATTAGTTTAATTGGTTCACTGATAACAGTGGTGCCATGATTTATTTTTGTAATTTATGCCTTTTGATGATGAGTGTTCTTGAAAACTTGCATAGGGGAGTAAAGAAAGATGTGAAAGAGGGAGGAAGTTAAAAAGCAAATAGACAGCTTCAGATATACATCAACCAGCCTTCTACAATAACTCTCCACGCTGTGACACATTCCGATCAAAAGGGACACCTCTCAGTCATAGGACAATTAAGTGAAGGATGTACGCTGGTTGGGAAAAGATCCAAACTCCCGAAATGTCAAATGCACCTCCTCTCAGACATTCTCTGCCTGGTCTGACGAGCATGCAGACAAGCAGCTGAGCAATAGCGACGCACAACAAAGACCATCGGTGGCGGGGAGACAGCAATGTCTTCCTCATGTCTGTGGCATCACTCTGCCACCTAACATCGCTTTCTGTACCGTCTGCTTGTTATTCTCAGGCAGAAGCATGGAACGTTGCCTGACTTGCCACGGTTCATTTTTGTCTATGAGTTCACAGTGAATAAACACAACATCTCTTCATGCTTAACTGTGTCTGAGGCCTGGGCTGAGACCTGTATGTAGGTAGCACGGGAGGGGCTAGCTCACTGCTAAGCTCACTGCCGTGCACACTGGTTAGAAGAAGAACGTGAGCACGTGAACAGGAAACAGCTGGGCAGGCCTCCCCATCTGCAATTCTTGTTTTTCTTTTTGCGTTCTCCGAGGAACGTGCTCAGACGTGGACCTCTATACACACCCTCTATACACATGTATGCTTGATCAAAGAGATTAGGTAGCATAATGCAATCATCAGAAAGAGGATGGTATTTGGTGTGAGACAAATTATTACTCCAAACAAAATTACCTCTCTCATCACTGCTCCAAAGCCCACTTGTTTTCTTGGGGCTAACTTTGTGAGGAATGATTTCTAATCTTGGCAGAAAGAGAAGGTGGTGGGGGTTGGGGGTGCAGAAAATGAACTCTGCGTCCTGCCCACAGCACATTACCTACTGCCTGGAAATACTACCCAACAGAGACCGTATGCAATCTGAACCTACTCCTCAAAGCTGATTTGCTGAAATTAAACATAAGTGGCTCCTCTTTGCCCAGAGGAGAGCCAAAGAAGAATACCTGCAGGGGAGCCCTGAATTATTGAGAGGAATCAAGAACCTTTTGAAAGCTGTTAGGACAGTCCACGCTGGAAAAGGGAGCTCTGATTTTAGGCATTCTCTTAAACCGACAGTATCTTACTCAAAGGGAATATTTTATATTCAATGCTGGACCTTCAGATTGAAGAGGTGGGGGAGAGGGCCATGAGTGCATGTTTGCACATGCATGAGTGGATTATAAAAGTGTCTATCAGTTTCTGCATCCCTGATGTGTGCATTTTTTGTGGTTCACTTCGTGAATATGGCCAAGGCATGTGTGGAGTGGAAAGAGCACAGACTTCAAAGCCCAGTACTGTCATTTACTCTGTGTGTGATTCTCTCTGAGCTTTGGTTTCCACATGCACAAAAAGAAGACATTTGCACGTTCCTCGCAGAACTGTGAGGAATAAAGGAGATCGTGTCTACCAGGCCAATAATAGCATTTCAGCATGCAAACAACGTAAGCTTCCATAATCCACAATTAAGAGCCCCAAAGTATTCTCAGTAAATATATTTTATAGAAACGTCTGTTCTATTTTAAACATGATGATATCACTGAGCCATCCCAAAGCCCTTCAAAGGTCACAGTCTAATCAAAATGGATCATTTTCATAGATGAGGCCTTCACATTTTTGTTATTTCTGTATGCATGCGGCAAGTCCCTGGAGCTGTACTCTCAGACACTTAGAGTTTAATTAAAGAGCTTTGTGAAGATGGGAACTCTGATAGATGCATCTCAGAACTTTCAAATGTCCTGATACATTTGCTATGTCACCAACACCTGGGTTCACTCTTTGATCCTTTGCTTGAATTTCAAAAGGTGCATACGACACACAATATTGCAACTTTCATAGTTCAAATATCTAGATTAATTGTAGACTCAAAAGAAATCTGCTGAAGAGTAAGTTAGTGATTACTGCTTCTCGAGTTCTTTAATTTAAGGAAACAGAGCTCTAAAAAGCTCCTAATCAGGGAGAGTTTAGGAAATTTCAAGTTAATTTGAGGCCAGAGATTCAGAAGCCTCAACTCTCGGAGTAAAAATTCAAAGGTAAATAAGCACCAACCAGATTAAGAAATAATATTATCCAAAGATAGGGCTGGTGAGACAAAGAAGGAGTCCAAATGCGTCAACTGTTACTCAAGGAACACATGATTTATTTAGTGCTTTATCTTTACTAGTAAATTAATAGGGAACAGTGTTAATTCTTTGACTAGATTTAAAAGATGGCAATTGAGTCATTAAAATCGCAAATATTACACCATTGAAAAAATTTTCCAACATAGCACTCCATCGTTTGGCCAATAAAAATAATCACTCCCAACAGAGAGATTTCCCTAGGAAGGTGAGCTTCAAGGAAAGTAGAACACCTATTTCGTTCATCCTCAGAATCTTACATAGGAGCACTTTGCATGTTAAATGAATAAGATGAACTTAAGAGTCACTCAAATAATTTTTGGAAGTATTTACTTAGATTCCACAGAATCGTAATTTAAGGGAAGTAGTAGAAACATTTTATGCCCCATTTCTGTTTTCTGCCTATTGCAGTCTTTCTCAAATCTGGCTACATATTAAAATCACCTCTGGCCATAGCAACAAGTTCTGGCCTATGGAATGCAAGTTGAAGTAGTGGTACCACTTCTGGGAAACATGCATAAATGAGAGGACATGCCCTTCTCTTTTTCCTTTTCCTTCTAGCTGAATGCAACACAGGACATGATGGTTGAAGCTGGTGTAGCTGTCTTGGGTGACAAGGCAGCCTTTGGAACGAGCCCACACATCCCATGCCCATCAGAGCAACAAGGCAGAAAGGGCCTGGGCCCCGGGACCAGGCTGGGTCACACCAGCTGGGCAGTCCCATCTGTGAGCTTCTACTGGAGAGAGAAATAAACTTCTATCTTGTTCAAACCACCATTTCACAGGTTTGTTGTTATTTTCTCTTGGCAGATACCAGCCCTAATGTGATATAAAGGTCTTAGGAAATTTGCCTTCAATCGCCCTTCCCTACCAAGTTGGTCAAGTTAGCCCATGAATAAAATTTATGAAGTTTACTAATTTCTTCCCTTGTACTTTGCTTGTTTCAATTTCCTTCCTAACTAATCTCACTTCTTTGATTCAGTCTTCCCCAGTCAAGTCTGCTCTCAAAATTGTTCCACTTTTCTATATTGCAATGGCAATCATTTTCTGTACTTCTTTTATCACAAGGTTTTAATAATTCAAATCATTGAATCCTGGATGACCAAGGCTTTTGATTCTATGTAACTTTTTACAGTTATTATTTTCCCACATAGATTTAGTTTTCTAGAAAGCAAGGCTATACATTTCTTCAAATTCTCTATAGTTCTGATCGTACTGCATATACACTTCATGTGTTCAATAATACAGTACTTGTTTACCAAGTGGAAGAAATACCAAAAATTTACTTCCTCCTTTTGTTTTTATATACCCAAACCATCTCTCCTTCCCTTGTCACCATGAATAATTAAGAAATGTATGGTCCTCAAATACAGAAAGGCTTAATATATTGGTGAAAAAATATATATATTTATAATTTATATAGCAAATGACAAAAGTTTCTCTCTCTCTAGAGAGAGAGACTCAATGACTGAAGGTAAATTGAATAACCAAAAAAATAAAATTGGTATGATAGTTTTAAAAACAAAAGCTGTTTAAGAGTGGAATGTTCTTCAACATTAAATATTCCTATAGTAAATAAAATATTATGATGAAAATTTAAAAAACTAAAATCTTTTTACATGGTTATTATGAATATATGATGTTGGTGTGAGACTTTTATAAAGTTGATTTCTCTCTTAATTTTTTTTTTCCTTTTAAATGTTTTTTTGGGGGGCGCCTGGGTGGCTCAGTCGTTAAGCATCTGCCTTCGGCTCAGGTCCTGGTCCCAGGGTCCTGGGATCGAGCCCCGCATCGGGCTCCCTGCTCAGCGGGAAGTCTGCTTCTCCCTCTCCCGCTCCCCCTGCTTGTGTTCCCTCTCTCGCTATGTCTCTCTCTGTCAAATAAATAAATAAAATCTTTAAAAATAAATAAATAAATAAAATACATGTTTTTTTTCTGAGAACACATATAATGGCAGGTACTATAGCATGAGCTCTGCTTCTTTAATACTTATTCTCATTTTTATTTTAAATCCTTTCTTTTTTTTTAAAGACTTATTTATTTATTAGAGAGAGAGACACACGGAGAGTGCATGCATGCACACAAGCGGGGAGAGGAGGGGGGAAGGCCAGAGGGAGAAGGAGAGAGATAATCCTCAAGCAGGCTCCCTGTTGAGTGTGGAGCCTGATGCAGGACTTGAGTCCAGGACCCTGAGATCATGACCTGAGCTGAAATCAAGAGTCAGACACCCAACCAACTGAACCACCCAGGCATCCCATCAAATCATTTCTTTTAATAAATATCTGATGACCCCTTTCTATGTTTGAGACACCATGTTAAGCACCAGGAAGAACAAACAAGTGAATAAAGCGAAGTCTTTGCCTTTATTTTGAATGCAATTTCTACTTACCTGAAGCGGATGCAGGTGGGAGGCTGAGGAAGAACCTCTACTCAAAGGCTATCTGTTTTGTTTTAATTAATGAGTTTGACAAATTACCCTAGTTTAGATGACAGATGCCAAAAAAGGCAAAACACAGCAGCTGTAAGTGTACTCACACATACTTACACATAAAAACACAGACACAGACAGCCATGCACCTGGTTATCAATTTACAAAGATGAGTTATTGCCTCACAATTATAAGGCATAAGCATGCAAATACATTCCTGCTTATTTAAAAAACTTTGATTACTTCTGTCGACAGGAAAAAGAATTATCTAATGTAAAATATGATATAATTTTTGCAAAGTTGCAAATATATAAAAGGTATAAAAGGCAAAATCTTAATAATGACCATCTCCTTGGCATCTCTATGTATTAAAAAGCATATGGGAATCAGCTGAAAATAGAATACATAATATCCCAAGAATTAGGTGCATTAAAGTTCTATTATAGACTAGGAATTTCCTTAAGACAATAACATTTACCACTTGTAGTTTGCCAAGATATTGTTGATCCATTCCCGAATAGCTAAGAAATGATGCGGACTTACTTCAATACTGAAGTACCCTCTGTCAACATAGTCCCCTAAGAAGAGGTAGCGAGTGTTGGCAGGAGATCCCCCCACTTCAAAGAGCTTCATCAAGTCAAAGAATTGTCCATGGATGTCCCCACAAACTGAAAGAAACAAAGAAAATTCATTTTATGGTCACATTATGATTCTGAATTAGATATAAAAATTACAAAATTTTAGAGCCAGAAGGAATGTAGAGCTCATCTTAGCCGAAATATTCTTTTGCAAAACAGGATGAATGAGACAGAGATTTCAAAGTTAATTAATGCGTACCTGGCTCTACCATCCAAACTTACCAATTCACAGATTAACTGTAAAAATAAAGATAATAATAATAATGACTAGTATTGCTATGCATTCAACAATGCTACACCACATCCTGTGCTAAGAAATTTATGCACATTTCCTGATTTCATACTAACAAGGTCATGGGGTGAATTTTCCCTTTGCAGATAAGAGATAAAGCAAAGAGAGGTTCAGAAATTTGGAATTATCTCTATATAACTGAGGTCTGAATAAAGAAATACTACCTTTTATTACCTCCTGAAGAAAAAGAAAGTTAATATGTATCACAAAAACTATATTTCATTGAATCTAAAATGCCATCAATTATAAAACACATCATTAGTTTATGTACCACTAAGAAAAAACCCTCCAATTTAAATTTAAATTATAAAAGAATATTTTTTATAAGATGTACTCTAATATCAGATGTTAAAAGTGACAAAAAAATTGTGAAATAAAAAAAAAACCTGTAATAGTACCAAAAATCACTGGGAAATAGTATTTCTTAATTTTCTCACCTTCTCTTTTAAAACCAAAATTCTCGAAAGAACTATGTAGCCTCTCTTTTTAGAAACCACTTATTTAGTACTTATCATTTCATTTACTACTTCCAAAGCCCTAAAAAAATATATATATTATCTCCATTATACAGATGAGGAAATAGTGTAGCTAAGACAGGTTATGTGGCTAAGCAAGATGACTCTTCTATATGGATAATCCAGGGTTTAAATTCAGGTTTGCCTAATTCAAAGCTTTTGCTACCAACCACCATGTTATAATATCTTTGATATTTTATATGTTTTACCTATGTATACGTATTTAATATTTTAAAATAATTTTATGCTTAAATGATGAACATGATGTGGTTGTTTCTTGAACACTAAGAGGCTCATGGAATGAATATATCAACAAATAGGAAATCTTAGTAGGCCAAAGCACGCTATCTTAATGCATTCTATGCTGCAATCAATTTAAGATAAAACCATTTTAGTCTACCTCCATCTCATTCCCCCTCTCCTTTTCTTGTTTGCTAGATGTGGGTCTTCGATGTCTTAAATAATCCAAGTTTCTTTCTTCCTTGGATTTCCACAGGCTGATGCCTTTTCATCCACCAGTCACAGGTGCAAAGGGTTCTTTCTTGAGCACTCTATATAAAGGAGTTGCCTTTCTCCAAAATCATTCTTCATCCCATTAATTTGTTTTACTTTCTTCACAATAGTTAACACTATTGGGAATTATCTAGCTTATTAATTTGCATGCCGTTTCTTCCCTGATCTTTCCCACTGAAATATAACCTCTGTGAGGTTGTATAACTTGTCAGTCTTGGTCACTGTATCCCCAGTGCTAAGAACAGCACCTCCCACCCAGTAGGCACATGAGAAACATGTGCTACCTGAGGATTCTTCCAATGGGCTTGTGCTGTGCTTAATTTGGAAATCCATTAACTGAGAAGTCAGGGATTTTAAGATGCCCTTGGGATTGATAGAGTTGGATGACAAGTCTGTAGAGTTCGCTCTGGTGCAAGCCAAAAGCCTTCAAGTTGTCTAAGATGCTTGTTTTAAGCCTTTGAGTCACAGCTTTCAAAACAGTGTGCAGCAAGACTGGGGTAGAATGCGGGACCTCCAAACTGGTTCCCCTACCTGGTTCTACATCAGAAACACATGGGGAGGTTTGGAAACTAGATCCCTGGGCCTTGAATTGGAATCTCCAGAGATGCAGATTTATAACCAGCTCTTAGATAAGTCTTATCTAGTCAGTAAGACTAAATAGACCTACACTTTTGAGCCTTTGTGGGCACACCTCAGCCCTCATTCTGCATGCTTGTGTGGTTCGCCTCACAGGGATTATATGTGGGGGAGATACATGTTTGAAAGGCAACTTCTTTCAATGTTAATTCCAGGTTGGTGTGAAAGCAGGAGTTCCTATTTGTGAAAGGATAATATTGAAGGGATTGTTTGATCGAATCTAGGAGAAAGAGATGAATCAAAGAAAAGTGATAAGATAAGAACAAAATTTCTTTGGGCTTCTGAATGCAGCTATTGCTTATGCTTTGTGCATTTCAGTTTTAGGATAAAAGATTTATCCCAAATATCTGGGAACATACTCTGGTTTCTCTTCAGATCGCATAAATCTTTCGCCTTTTACCAAATATCTGGGAACATTCACTACTTTGATATCAAACTTCAGGATAAAAGTGATTGCCACACCCAAGAGGATATCGGGTGGGGGCCATGGCACCACACAGAGGGAAGGTTACTTCTACGCGATGGTAAGTGAAAGGTATAGCCAGGTAGCTTTCCCTCTCTTTTATGCTGTGGCTCCCACCTTCCATCCTCTTGGGTATACCTGAGCAATATAAAAATGTCAGCTAATGAGGCAAGCTGTCTTGCTCACAGTCTCCAATTTGCCACCAGGCTAGGTCCTTTCATCTTCAACATCATTTGGTTTTAACAACACTTCCAAAACAACCAGGCTTTGACAAGTTCTGTTATACCTTCAAGGCAAGCTCTTTCTTCATCGACATAGCCTTGTTTCCCACATTTCCCTAGCTTTCCATTATTTGCTTCTCATTGCCAATGGAACACTGCTGGTGGACAGAGTACTCACCTAAGGGCCAACACTGAAAGGCCTGTTATATTGAAAAGGCTCCAAAACTAAAGATACGCAATACGGGCAATAAAAGCACTCCTACTCTCTATGAAAATATCCATTCACCTGGCTAAACATTCTCCCAAAATATATATTGTGTCTTCAATAGATTATTAGGAGAACTGTATATATTTCCATCAGAAAGGTAGAGAGTTACAGCATTAATAAAATGAACACATCAAAGATAATGAAATAAAACAGAAGGATTTTTTTTTTTCTGGACCATCGATACCCTTATCCATGAGTAACCTGATGTGCCACAACCTGATGGTTATTTTCCCTATGAACTGTGGTCCTACTTTTGTTTTTATACTGGAGAAGTAAGAACTCCATGAGTTTTTATACTGCTCGGGTATACTAAGCAGTTAAATCTATTTGGTGAGAAGGTGTCATTATCTTCTTGGTTCTTTCCCTAAGTGGGGTGACTAAATGATTTTGAATGTGGCTATTCTAATATTCTCAGTACAACCAAATGGCGCAAGAGTGACCAACATCCTGTGATGCTTCCATATTTATTACTTTTTTCTCTTCTACTATCAGGAAATACATAAATTATGCCGAAATAACCAAGTGCTAAGTAAAACCTAAGTAAACAATTACTTTTAAGTAAATGCCTTTTAATATTGCTTCCCTGCCCACAATGACTCTCAGTCCACCGCAAATAAAACTTTACTGGAAATGATTCTGACACATGAGTGGTACCAACTTCTGATCTAAATCTTCTGAAGGAGAGTACAGAATTTTGAAGTGGGAAACTGAAAAAAAAATACAGAAAGGCCTCATCTTTATTTCTTAAGGAAGGGAATAGCTTTTATTTCTAATATTTCTGGAGAGCTAGTTTATTTTTTATTTATTTTTTTTATTTATTTATTCATGAAAGTCAGAGAGAGAGAGAGAGGGGCAGAGGCAGAGGGAGAGAAGCAGGCTCCCCGCCTAGCAGGGAGCCCGATGCGGGACTCGATCCCAGGACTCTGGGATCATGACCTGAGCCGAAGGCAGACGCTTAACCATCTGAGCCACCCAGGCGCCCCTGGAGAGCTAGTTTATTAAGCTTTGAACTCACAGGTTTGGACAGAGGTTCAAGTACATATAAACATAACTATAACTGTGTGTCTGTCTATGCATGTGCATGCGTGTGCATGTGTGTGTGTGTAAAACCACCCATCACAAAGGAGGAATTATTTGGAGATTAGTGGTCGGTGTAGCAGTTAGGGAGTCATTAAACAAGTTCAAGACTTTACTCGCTGTATATTACAGCAAAGTAGTGCTAAAGAGAAAGCAATAAACAGCTGGGGCAGTAACAAGGGACTCTTTGTAGTTGACTGAGTAAGTTCTTATAATCTACAAACTGGACAGTGAATCAGTCACAGGGCAAGTCTAAGAATCCCTAAAACCAGCACACTGCTAAGTAGAGAAGATAATGGCCAGCACATGGAGGACAAATAGGCTCTTGAGAAAATAACAGGCAGAGGAAGAAGGACAAGCTGGAAAGATAATCATGACCACGACCAAGCCCTTGCCTTGCATCTCCTGACTAGAGATAAGCTGGTAACTCTATTTAGAAGGGATAGGTGTTCGGTACAAGAACCATGCACATATTATACATACAATTAGGTAAGCACGTCATAGTTAATTTAGTGAATCAGCAAATAAGTATGTCCGTATTATAATTTAATTTTTTTTCAAAGAATTCCATTGTTTCTAAGTTCACATTGGCAATTAAATTACAACATTAAAAAACGTAAACAGCACACAGTACTGAATACAGGAGGACGGGCCCAGTATAACTGCTATACAGTTGATAGTTTGAAAAGGACTCTGACAAAATTGTCATCCTGAAAAGGAGTCATAGTAACAAATATAAAATATATACTTTCATGTAAAACTACTTACAATAGTTTTGAATTACTGCTCACACTCCCACATTTTCTTGTTTATATAAAAAAAATCCATCAAAGAACATCACTGGGTCAACTTCTTACTGACACTAAGCAAAACTTCTATGTCATAGCATTCCAGGTTAAAGAAAGCTTACACAAATTAGAATGCTTGGGGACAGAGAAGTGAGTTGTTAAAGACAGACAAACAGACAAACAAAAAAACTGTCAAACGATAAATTGCAGGGGGAAAAAAGATTTTTAATAGACCAGCTTTCAATATTGCATTGATA